GGTGGGTCATCATGACTAAATTTGCAAGAAGCTCCATAAGAGCATTTGTCTTGCTTTTGAAATTCACGACAGACTCCACGAGATGGTTTGACGTTCACTGGCATTATCTTCGGCTTTGACGAGCTTCTTGGACTCGGTAGGTTGACAGTCATCTTTGGGACTATGGGAATACTTGCATTTGTCACCATGCTTGCAGTTACCGGTACGGTTGAAGTAACGACATGGCTTGGTCTCATTTTTTGCCTTCTGCGGTTGTCCTTGGCTTGAAAACGATTGGGTCTTTGACGGGTTCTTGAAGAACGACGAATCCTCAGACTTCCGGCCAATAGGAGGTCCTAACACTTGGTCCAATGTAAGGGGGTGATAGTCTTTACGCCATTCATCTAGTATATCATCGAAATTGGTGATGTCATCAGCGGATTTGAGCTCGGATAGAAGCGAGCTTCTTAGACCGATATCTTCCTTGAAGCGTCGATACTGAGACACATGGGAACAGCAAGTCACCAAGCACGTCGTGGCTTGAACGGACGCGTGCTCTCTTAGGGTTTGGAGTCATACTTGGTTAACACAACCAGAACCGGTTGGTCTAGTGTAAAGCGTAAAAGATGAGTAATAAGTAGACTGCAATAAAAGGGGAGACGAGACGCCAGACGTTTCTTAAAAGCGCACGTCTTGTACATGCAAGTTACATGAACACAGTATGCTAAGGCTGAGTGCAATAGTCTTACTACTACACGCGAGAAATGTTTGCCTCGATATTTCGCGCAGCGCGAAATATCGTATCAAAAAATTTTCGTCTGTACAAAGCCAGAGTTTTACGAAATAAAACACGTACGAACTTAATGATTTATGAAGTAGTGTGTACCAGTCACAGCTGCACGAGAATATGGCGTAGGGATTTGCAGAGTACTAGACATGCATGCATGACATTATGTCATTGACATAGCAATGTACTGATTTACACTGTGTTCGCTGACAATAAGCGGACACTGCACGTGGTACGTGCAGACAGTACGAAACGAGACTGTATATGGAAGTATGTCACTATTTCACTGATGTGATGCTGTATGTAAGATATGATGCTGTACCGAGCAAAGTAAGATGATCCAGTTACTGGATTCCAGTAGTGCACGAATCAAAGGTGTATCATCCAAAACTGTATCAGTTGCAAGTACACGGAGTGGTACATGAGTAGGCATTCTGCGAGCTGCAACTGTACGATCTGATCCTCACCGCTCGACGCACCCCTGAGTAGGTTAAGCACGGCGCTTATGGTTGTATAAACCGCTATAATGACAACAGACGCCCGCTGCATCGGGACCCAGTACAACCAGCTGACAGTGACATCATTATGTGACATAACTTATGTCTGGATATGAGCAATGATAGCGTGTCCAGCGTCTACATGAAGTGGGTGAGTAGAAGTCTAGGCTGGTGAGTAGAATCAAAACAGCGTATTAGGCCACGTCTTTGAACTCTATATCCACAAATCCAAAGGTGTTATGATCTATTCTTGGGTTCGACTCTAAAACCAAGCTATGTTCGATTCTAGCTGATAAAGCTATTGATCTAAGCTATATTAGCTGCACCACTGGTCACTCGTCGAAAGCGAGACATTGTATACAGAGTCTGTATACAATGTCTCGCTTTCAACGTCTGTATTACAGGCGATAATGGTTCGAGCTAGCACAGTGATAATCAGCTAGATAATCCAGAGCGTTCTCAGAGAGAGGTTAGTAAGCCTGTTGAAGATAGAGCCGGTGAAAAGCATGAGCTGGTATCGGACGATACCAGCCCATCATCCCTAGTTGAGGCTTCGAAGGCGCGACGGACGGTTTAGTTTCGTAAGCATGCCGTGAAGTTCAGTGATGGC